GCTTCTGCCCCTTTCTGGGTGGAGATGGAGGAGGAGTGGGAAGAGAAGGGTAGATGGGAACTGGGAAGGGGAACTGGGAGGAGGGGAGGGAGGGAAACTGCCATCTATACATAAAATCATGAAAAATGTTATTTAAATAAAATAAACAAATAAATATAAAGGAAGGAAGGAAGGAAGGAAGGAAGGAAATGGGTAGAGGGGTTTCCATGCCTTTGTAAGTTGGATGAAAAAGAACAAGATCTAGCAAACCAGTGGTGTCCACTGGAGAAGGACTGCACTTCTTGGTGAATTTGTGAGAAAGACTTTTTGGCTTGAATGAGTGACCTGGAGAGTGTATGGCTTGGTGGGACTCCAAGCAACAACAATGCCAGGTAGAATATCCATTTATGAGTGCAGGACAGACCATTTGAAAGACACAGAAGGGATAGACAGTAGCCAGTTACCGGTGACTCTAGCTGGGAACTGCTCAGTATCTTTATAGGTATTCAAACGAGCTTGAGGTAGAAGACTAAACAAGAAACTAAACATCCCATGTGAGGTGTATGATGGAGAAATTCAGATTGCATGCCTCTTTGTGTATTTCCTTAACTTTTTAATTACATTTTTAAGGCTAGATGCTAAGTCTTTCTCACCCCTGTATCTCTTATAAGCCTGAGCTCTCATCCTGGTGGAATGCTGTGGAGACTGCTTAAAAACATCTTCCTCATTTATATCTTCTTAAGGCATCTAGTCCCAGTTTTACTTTTCTGCCACATTTTCAAATGTCATTGATATATAATCTTTGTATTATGAGCTCATGCAGTTGAGAGTGTCCACTCTGCATCTCAATCAATTTCTACAAACAGGAAACTATCATTACACCATCCCACATAGCTGTAGAATACCTCAGCATGCCCAGCTGCTTCCTGTGCTCCTCAACAATCATCCGCATTCCAATTGTCAGATCCAGGCAACTGCTGATGTGCTATATATGCCATTTCCATTTACAACTTTTCCAGAATTTCATATTACGGAATCATATCATATGTCTGATGTATTTCATTGCAGATATGTTTAACATTCATCCATTTTATTTATTTATTTAGGGTTTTTTATTCTTAAATTTAAATTTAAAATATAAACAAGGTTACTTCACATGCCAATTCCAGGTCCTTCTCCCTTTCCCTCCCCTCCTCCCGTGCCCACCCACAACCCCCCCATATCCCCTCATTTCCCCAGGGAGGGTGAGGCTTATGGACTATGAACATTCATCCATTTTGTAACAGGTCACAGAAGTTTGCTGTTTTTGTTGTTGTGTAGTATTCCACTATTAAATAATTATTTTTGTTTTTTTATTTTCTCACTGAAGAGCATTAAAGTTATTTATAATGAAGTTTTATGAAAAATTCTTCCACAGCCATTTGCATATTGGTCTCTGTGTGGACATATGTTTTTCATTTATTTTGGGTAGATACCTAAGACTAGAATTGTGGGGCCATATAGTAAGCAGTTGGTCTTCATTAATTGAAGCACCTTAAACAGGAATTAATAAGTAAAAGACAGAAAGTAAGTTAAGTGGAACTGGGAAATGTGACTGGTGGTATGGAAGAAAATTCCTGAAAAAGAAAGATTACTGAGAAGAGATAAAAACACATGGAGATAAATCACCTGTCTCATAATTTGGACCTCAGTGTTCAGAAAGTGTAAATATTTCAGCCGATTCAAATTTTTCTCAATTGTAATTGTAGTTCACATTGATCATAGCATATGGGATAGAAATGTGTGAGCGGGGTACATTTGGCTGCATCTGGGAATAGCCTCCATAAATGTCCACTTTTAGGGAGCCATTAGGTTTAGTCATGATGAGAATTTGCCAATTAGAAGATTCAATTGAGAAATCCAACCCTTCAAATCTACCACTACAATTTGTGTTTATTTCACTTGGTCTCGGCAAAGGCCATTCTGAGTATTTGTGTCTTCTTGAAGTAGGAAATTGTGCAGAAATAATTTAGGGGCATACAATTATGAATAAATACAGAGAGACTGGTAATAATGGGAATTACTATTGCAGAATACATTCACAAGTCAAACTGCACCTTCTTATAAGTGATCAAATACCATTAGGTAATAACAAAGAAAGGTATACTTTTTCTTTGCACAGAAGTGTAAAAACAAGCATTCTTTTCCCCCACCCCTGTCCCACCCTGTACCCTTTCAGTACTTTGTGCTATGGTCCTAGTAGTCTCTTTCCACTTTCCTGTAATGTGTATTCTATTTCCACTTCCCCCTACACACATACACATACACCTCTTTCTCTCTCTCTCTCTCTCTCTCTCTCTCTCTCTCTCTCTCTCTCTCTCTCTCTGTCTCTCTCTCTCACACACACACACACACCACATACACACCATATACACATACACCATACATATACACATACACACTATATACACATATACAACACACACAATATGCACACCACATACACACAATACACACACATACCACTTACACTCCATAAACACACATACACAACACACACACAAATACACACACCACATACACACAATACACACACATACACCACACACATACCACTTACACTCCATACACACACATACACAACACACACACAAATACACACACCACATACACACCATACATACACACATACACCACACACATACCACTTACACTCCATACACACACATACACAACACACACAATACACACACATACCACTTACACTACATACACACACATACACAACATACACACACAAATACACATACCACATACACACCATACACACACACATACACCACACACATACTACTTACACTCCATACACACACATACACAACACACACACAAATACACACACCACATACACACAATGCACACACATACCACTTACACTACATACACACACATACACAACACACACACAAAAATACACATACCACATACACACCATACACAAAACACAAATACATTACATACACACTATACACACAAAACACATACACAAAACACAAACATACAAACATACCACACACATACACTTCACACACAATACACACACATACACATTACACTCACATAGATAGCACACACACAAATAGCACACATACACAACACACACACACACACACACACACACACACACACATTGCTCCAGCACAACTCCAAGACTGTCACTCTCTTCTTCCTTCTCTGGATCAGAAAGAAGAGAGAGAGAAAGGGAAGGAGAGGACAATGATGGCTGCAACCCGCTGGAAGCAAGCGTGAGAATGTAGGGATTTAGATAATTTGGAGAATTACATGCCTACGTTTACTTTTTACAAAGTGTTGCTGTGGAAAAGGCAGCTGTAGTGTGAGTTGGGGGGTCCCATTCACTCTGCTAAATGATATGCAGGAATACCAGAGAGATTTCTTCATTAGTTTGATGAGAATGTGAACTGTGGAAAGACACTTTCAATTTTCATTGAGATTATTTTTAAGCCCCAGCCTAGAGGACAGGATCCATAGCACTTCATATATACACAAAAGTTTAGGGATTAGAATTTACTTTCCCTCCTAGTTCCTACTAAAAACACATACTTAGCTCAGTAACTCAAACTGTAGTGATAATTTCATAAGGGGCAGAGGCTAGGGATGATGTAGAGGGTTCAAATTCACCATGTTATTGGTGTAATTTATTCACTGGACTTTCTCATAGAATTTCTAGCACCCATTTTATCAGGATTAATAGCAACCATTGTTTACTATCTGGTTCATCAGTTTGCTGAGTACTTTGTTGTTTCACTTTCCAGGTTGATTTCTAACACTGTTATATTTCTAAATATCTTGTTATTCTAAGTTTCTCCTAGATGGGCATGGCCATTGAATTTGATAATTTCAGAGAATATTTCTTAGCTGCCTCCTTCAAACTATTTCAATGCCCAAAAACCACCCCAACCACCACAGACAGACACACAGACACACACAGACACAGACAGACAGACAGACAGACAGACAGACAGGCACGCACACACACACACACACACACACACACACCTACATACATTTTCTGTAAAATTTGGCCGTTCGTTTTGGTGCCATAGTGATTGTCTTATTTTTTTAACTTCTTTTAATTGATATTAACGTCATATACATGCTCCTTATCTCTACAATAATTTGCAGGACTTTTTTCCATTGAAAAAAAAGAATAACTTTCATTCTCACAACACTATTTGAGTCAAGACCTTGAGAAGCATTATTCTGGTTTATTTGGTTGTATAATGCAGCACATTCGTTTGAGTCATTTTTACAGAAATAACTCCTTTAAAAATCATTTTTGGAAAAGATGTCTATCTAAACAGACAGTCAAATGTAAACTGTGTTTTTATTAAGACACCAACAGACAAAGTGACTGGTGGTCTGCCTGGATTTTTTATCACTTACAAGTTGCTTTGCTATGATACAGCATAGCCCCAGGGACATGAAGGTTGGGAATTACCATGTGTCAGAGTTAGATGTTAAGCCCAGGTCACTGGATTATTGCTTTTGGAAGGTGACATGAGTTCTGTCAAGGTGTGAGTGATTTGTTGCTTCATCGTCTCTCTGATATTAAATTTTGAGGACTGGGTTAAAGTTTGTGCTTGGGGGGGGCATCTATCCTTATTTGTCATATAAAAGAGAGTGTATTAGACCACCATGTGATGGGAGATAGTGAGGTGGTTTGTTTGTTTGTTTGTTTTGATTTTTGTCTTTTTTTAATCACTAAGATATTTCTAGACCAGGCTGGGTAGAAATGAAGACAGGTGATTCTAATAAACAATTAGATGGTTTAATAAACATGAATAATATTATTCAAAGGACCACACTCCCCCAAAATGAAAATGCAACTACAGGGCATTTCTTTAGCACCCTTCCTCATCTTATGTCATAGGAATGCCAATGAGACTCCTCCATCCTCCACCTCCCATTTCCTAGTGCCAGATCTGTAAGCGCTTAGCCAAGCATGCTGGGAGACACAGAAGAACTGAAGGGAAGGAGTAGCCGGATGTCTTGGGTTTTCTTTCCATTCCGATCTGTTCTGTTCTCCTGACATCACCTCATTACTAGACGTAGGCACTAGACGTGACAGTCAACTACATCTGAACTGAGCAGAGAAGAGGTAGTGAAGGCAGAGAGTGCAGGAGACATGTCTCAAAGGCAGCCTCAGTCACCTAATCAGACTTTAATTTCCATCACAAATGACACAGAATCATCAAGCTCTGTCGTTTCCAACGATACTACACATAAAGGATGGACCGGAGACAACTCTCCAGGAATAGAAGCACTGTGTGCCATCTATGTCACTTATGCTGTGATCATTTCAGTGGGCATCCTTGGAAATGCCATCCTCATCAAAGTCTTTTTCAAGACTAAATCCATGCAAACAGTTCCAAATATTTTCATCACCAGCCTTGCTTTTGGAGACATGTTACTTCTGCTGACTTGTGTGCCTGTGGATGCAACCCACTACCTGGCAGAAGGATGGCTGTTTGGAAAGATCGGTTGTAAAGTGCTTTCCTTCATCCGGCTCACTTCTGTTGGTGTGTCAGTATTCACGTTAACAATTCTCAGCGCTGACAGGTGAGTTGCTTTTTTCTGCTCTGTTGCTGGGATAGGAAATTAGGCGAAAGAAAAAAAGAAAAGCTTTTGCTCAGCATTTGCTGGCTACCGGCAGGCTTTTCTTACACTGTGTAACCTAATTGTAAGGTTGTAAAATCCAGGAGCATTTTAAAATAAAAGTTAGGGTAAAAAACGTTAAAATGCCTTTGTTAGCATCTGAAGAGTGCTTAAAGATATATGCTCTGGGCAGGGGGGCTTTCTTTCTTTGAAATGTAATTGTTTGCTTGAAAGAACAGCAAACGGTGATTTTATTTTCCTCCAGCTTATTAAGTCAGGGAAATTGTTGCAGGTGCAAAGAAAAATACTCATGCTTTATACATTAGTGCAGCCTAGTGGTATAACAGAGTCAACATGGAAACATTGGCATAGGTGTCAAATGGACCGTGTATGCATTACCATGTACTAGAAGGATGGTAGATAGAGAAAATGCATCAAATTATTTGAAAGTCCCCAGATTAGCTAATAGAAGGAAAACAGTAAGGTTTTTAGCACCTTGGTAATTCAGTGTCATGTTATTACTTAATTCTATTTGTTTTCTCTATAAGCATGTGGGTGACTATCATCCCCAGAGACATAAATTAATTTGGATGGACTTTTAGAGTCCTGTGGCTAGAGCGTGTGATACATCCTCATTGTCAGGGAGTTGGGGGATATTAAGGTGCTTTTAGCTTGAATACTGTGTTTTTCTTAATAACCATTGCAGAATAACCATGAAAGCATGAAAATGAGGCTCTAAATATTAAAAGTAGTGCTTTAAATTTTTTGCAAGATGCCTGCAGGCTATTAATGCCTAGCAGTACTGCAGGAAGAGCTCTAGATTCTGGAATCTGACAGCAGCAAAAGCTTGATCTGTGTCATTATTATTATCATTATTATCATCATCATAATAATGACAGTGATAATGAGGTTATTGCTTCACTGGTCTATATTCTTTAGGGCAGTCTTCTGTAAAGACTACAGGTTTTAAGGTGTCTCTGTCAAAATGAGGAGGCATCATTGCATGGGATCTAACTGCTGATTTTACCCTAATCTCTCCCCATTGATCCATTAGCTTAGGGAAAGAAGTAGCCCTTATGAATGGGGAAAACATGAGCTCTCTGCTTCTTACTGGTGGAAATCCTACCTAGCAAGACTGAAGACCGCTTACTCATCCAGGGGAGTTAATTTGATTAACATGAGTCATTAACATATGCAGGTCTTCTTTAGAATACTTATGGCAACACATAGGTGATGAATTATTTGCAAAACACACAGAAAAACACACTGAAAATATTTGTCCTAAATAGAGGATCTGTCACAAAATTACAAAATTGCAGATCTGGAAATGTCTCATAGGAGTAAATAAGAGGTGAGCTGATTAGAATAAATAAATCACTGGGTATATTCTGTGTCTTTGGAACTACAGCCAATTCTGGGTGTTTCTGTATGACTGGAAAGGAGGAAGAACTGAATTATTGCTAAAGTCCCATGTGTCTCTGATTTCAACTCTGCTTGTGATTATGTGTTTCTAGATACAAAGCGGTTGTGAAGCCACTTGAACGGCAGCCCTCCAATGCTGTTCTGAAGACCTGTGCAAAAGCTGGAGGCATCTGGATCATGTCTATGATATTTGCTCTGCCAGAGGCTATATTCTCAGATGTATACACTTTCCGAGATCCTAACAGAAATGTGACATTTGAATCGTGTAACTCCTACCCTGTCTCTGAGAGGCTCTTGCAAGAAATACATTCTCTGTTGTGTTTCTTAGTGTTCTATATTATCCCGCTCTCGATTATCTCTGTCTATTATTCTTTGATTGCCAGGACTCTTTACAAAAGCACCCTGAATATACCTACTGAGGAACAAAGCCATGCCCGGAAGCAGGTATGTATGAATTGGTCCTCCTGCAAATACACCCTGGGTTTAGAAGTGAGCTCCCCACCCCATCACCTTTCAGTGAGCTACACTGCATTCATCTGTGTATAGATCCAATAGCAGTCTACTGCTGTTGGCATAAGGACAGCTTCTCTTTTCAGTCCCAAATGCATCACACACTGAGCAATGCTGAGCAAGCTATTTGACCTCTCTGAGCCCAAGTTTCTTCTCTATGAAACAAAGAAGAGAACTAAATAGACAGTTAAAACTCCCAGCATACCATCTGCCTTCAGTCACTGGTGAGACTATTAGTATTACAGACGTGGTAGTGGAAGTGTGAGGGCAGTAAAAGCTATTTATCCTATAGAATAGTAAGGGAATCTGTATAACGTGAGATTATAAAGCAAAGCATTATTTGCTTTAGGAAGTATCACAAAGTACTAGAAATGCCCAGAATGATGAAACCGGCAAGGTTCATCTGACATTACGCACTGAAAAAAACTTCTCTACAGATGAACAACCTGAGGTCTGGGGAGGGTGATATGTAGTACCCATGGCAAGAGGGCAACACAGCGACTCACACACACTTGATTAAAATCGTTGAAGGACTTAACTGTGCTCTCCTTTCTTGAACTAGTACAGAATGAAAGGATGGTTCCAAACCTTGCCTGTTAGATTGATGGTCAGGGATGCTTCTATCCCAGATAAGAGAGAAGTAGTGCCATTTGCAGAGAAGAGAGAGGGAAAGGGAGGAGGGAGGAGAGAGCAGGGAGAGAAAGAGCTATGCCTTGTGTGTACTTTACCAGTTAGTTGAATAGCTGTGCTCATGAGGCTGAAGCTATATAAGGTACATGTCTAGTGTCCATGTGGTCCAGTTATCTTTGCTCTGTTTAAGCCTCTATTTTATGAGGTTCATCTCTTGTATTAGCAGATGTGAATAGGAGTATTTTCATATATGATGGATGGCACATTTTGTTTTTGTTCCTCTGACTACATGATTTAAATCCCTATAGATTAAAAGCAACTTTAGTACCAACCTGACAACTTTCTTAAACTGCAGAAGACTGTACTCACCTGTCAGCCTCTATGGAGGCAGTGAAAGCTGCTCTGAATAGTATCATTCTCTCCTTTTAGTGAAATTAAATCACTGGGGATTCCACAGCACTGCTTGAGTTAACTAGAGTATCTCAACATCCGAGGATGGTGGGAGGTCTCAGAATAAGAGTTAATGAGACCAAGATCACAGGTTACCATGCCAATTAACTTGTCATATTCTGTATCCACAGGCAGACTTCCCATGTGTCCCAGCCAGTTAGCTCATAAGCATGTGTTCAAAGGGAGGCCAGCTTGTTAACTGTAAATTCCTATGTCAATCTAAGAATGGTATTTTATCTCTGCCAGCTAAATGAATTTCTCTCTCTCTCTCTCTCTCTCTCTCTCTCTCTCTCTCTCTCTCTCTCTCTCTCTATCTATCTCTGTGTGTGTGTGTGTACAATTTTCTCCCCATATAGATTGAATCCCGGAAGAGAATTGCCAAAACGGTATTGGTGCTGGTGGCTCTGTTCGCTCTCTGCTGGTTGCCGAATCACCTCCTGTATCTCTACCACTCATTCACTTACAAAAGCTATGAAGACCCCACGGCCATCCCTTTCATCATCACCATTTTCTCTCGGGTGCTGGCTTTCAGTAATTCCTGTGTGAACCCCTTTGCTCTCTACTGGCTGAGCAAGTCCTTCCAGGAGCATTTTAAAGCTCAGCTCTGCTGCTTCAAGGCAGAGGTGTCTGAGCCTCCTCTTGGTGACACCCCTCTTACCAACCTCACTGTGATGGGGCGCGTCCCTGGTACTGGGAGCACACAGGTATCTGAAATTAGTGTGACCCTGTTCAGTGGCTGTGGTATGAAGAAGGGAGAGGACAAAGTTTAGCTTTTCCACTAAAAAGGTGGTGATTTTTAGTCCTTTTGTGTGTATCCAGCTTTAAGCTGTGCATAGTATGGTGTCTGACTTTTTGTTGTTATTGTTTTGAAGTTTTGAGAATGAATTATCCCTGTAAGTAAAAGACAGACCATCGTTTTCTTCAAGGTGCAAACAGTAATGCTTTTTGGGCTTTCTAAATACAGTGAAGCCCACCAAGTAGAGAAAGGCAGGTTTTGAAATGCCAGTCAACTGTGAAGAATGCTGTATAGGAGAGTTGGTAAATGAACAAGATAAAAGTTTAAACATTTAATTGGATCCCTCCTCTCTGATGCTCATCTCTCATGCACTCTCATGTGCTTGTTATAAAATAGTGTTTGTGCTTATTTTGTGCTGTAAATCTAGAGATTTTACTCCGTAAATGAGGAGATACAAAAAGAGATACAACATCTCTTGTGGTGTTTAGTAGCACACACACACACACACACACACACACACACACACTTCACAGCGTGACTGCTCTCTTCCTTCAATCACCATTCTATTATAAGAAATATTGCAATTGAAATGAAAATGTTTGAGAGTTGGAGGGTATTAAGCACTGACTCAAGGGCAGGGTGCTTCACTTACTGGGTCAACATTTCCTGACTTTGTGTATTCTACTGCCACTGGTTAATAGCTAGGCAGAGTCATCTCACACAAAACATTGTGGAGAATTTGTCTTGTTAATAGGCAGAACAGAGAGCCACCGTGTTGTTATGACCATGGGCCCCAAAGAAGGATTCCTGTCCAAGTTTCTAAGCTGTCACGGTCTGAAATTCTTTCCTCGAAGGAAGCTCATTTCATTTGGGTGAGCAGTGCCCTCTTTCTATAAACCTGTGGAACTGCCACTCGGGATCTCCATCAGCTGGCTGTGCGAGCATCATTACATCATCTACCTGCTTGATTTTACTAAACTTCATGGGTGCCGAAGTCCTAGAGCTCAACTCTGTTTCTGGAAGTCAGACAGAAGGCTCTGACTTTCTATCCTCTGCTACAACTTGCTAACACAAATAAGCTTGCAACTCACTGTAATTGGAAAGAAAACCTTGTAGTCAGTAGATTTGTCAGATTTAAATTTGTGCTTTCAGAAAATGTATTCTTAAAGTAAACTAAAGCTTATCTTTGGCACTGTAGTTACATTTGTATTTTTAAAAACTTGATTTTTTGAGAGTGCTTTTGCTATTTTTGAGCTTTAAATGACTTGCGCCATTGTGAACTTACGCTAATTACATGGCTCAAACAGGTGTGGGGTATATACTAACACTGGGCTTTAAATGTTCTTAAAATTGGCATATTTAAAGTGGGGGTGCTAATATTGTATTAACATTGCTTTAAAGTGAGCAAAATTGTTGTAAAAACTTTGAAGCTGAGCAAATAAATAAGAAATAAAGTTTGAATGGTTTCATCTAACTTTATATCCTAAAAAATAAAAATAATGACAGAATATAAGAACACATTTCAATTTCAGGACTTACTATTTTTAAATCACAGAACTACAAAATATCTTATTTTCCTTGATTAGAAAAACATTATATATTTACTCTCCTGAGCCTACCACTTGAGAAATAATTTTACATATGTACTAGGCTATGGCTTGAGAGAGAGCTCAGCAGTTAAGGGTGCTTCCTGCACAAACATGAGGACCAGACTTGAGATTCTAGTCTCACAGGTCAGATGCGGTCCTGCAATTAATTACATGTGCAAACACAGCACTCATTGGGCTGAAACAATAGGATTCCTGGTGCATGCTGGCTGCCAGGCTAGCTGAAAACAAACAACAACAAAACAACAACAAAAAACAACCCAAAAGCTCTGGCTTCATCAACAGACCTTACCTAAAAAGGAATAAGGCAGAAAATGATAAAGGAAAATACATTACACTCACACAAGCACACCACATACACACTTCACATATATACACTCAAATACGAACTCAATAATTAGTATCTGAATTTTAAACAATACCAGGCTACAAAAGCCAAGAGAGTATTTTCATGTTTCACTAAACTATAGCTCTGCATGAGTTAGCGATGAAATAAATATATATAAAATATATGTATAAAATATGTATAAAATAACTTCTTAGCTTCCTAGGGCATCAGCCTCCTTCCCTTTCATAGCTAGAAAATTAGGATTAAAATTTCTGGGTTTGCTGGGCGGTGGTGGCACAATGCCTTTAATCCCAGCACTCGGGAGGCAGAGGCAGATGGTCTATGAGTTCGAGACCAGCCTGGTCTACAGAGAGAGTACCAGGACAGCCTCCAAAACCACAGAGAAACCCTGTCTCGAAAACAAAACAACAAAAAAAAAATTCTGGGTTTGCAACTGGCAAACTAAGCAATAATGGAGAGGCTACCTTAAATGCCCATCCCGAGTTTGATGACTTCCTTATAGGCCATCCTAGAACCTTCATCCAGTGACAGACGGAAGCAGAGGCAGACACCCACAGCTAAACATTGAATTGAACTCCTGGAACCTAGTGACAGAGAGGGAGGAATGATGAGCAAAGGGGTCAAGACTGGGCTGATAAAACCCACAGAAACAACTGACCTGACCTGAACAAGGGGGAGCTCTTGGACCCCTGCTGGATGGCTGGGAGACCAGCATGGGACAGATCCAGACCCCCTGAATGTGGGTGTCAGCAAGGAGGCCTGGACAATCTGTGGGGTCTTGGGCAGTGGATTGGTGTTTGTCCCTGGCATAAAGATGGACTTTGGGTGGCCCTCACACAGTGAGGGATCCTCTCTCAGCCTGATCTTTTAGAGAAGGACCTGTGCCCTGCCCTGAATGAAATGGCAGACTTTGGGAATCCCCCATGAATGGTCTCAACCTCCCTGGGGAATGGAGTAGTGCCGCGCCCACTGCACAGCCTATGTCCGAGAATGTGTGGAGGGTGTCAGGGATTGACCACATAGACCCAAAGGCTCCTCAAGAAGGCTCTCCTTTATTCCTACTCTGGCTGGTTATTATATACCCTGACACCAGAGGTGGGGATGGGTGGGTCTAAGGATGCAGTTAGTCTTTGGAAAAGGTCGAGGACAGGGCAGTTCCCATAGGCACGCCCTTTTCAGGAACTTATTGCCCCAGGCATTGTATTGTTTTTAGTAAACACGTTTTTAGTAAACATTGTCTTATAGCTGCCTACTCCCAGGCTGATGGGGAAGTGGGTCTCTGCCCAAGGTCTGTTGTCCCCACAATTCCCCTTTTTATTTTCTAATGAGGCACTCCTGGCTTAGGTCAAGTAGGGTCACCCTCCCTTGTCCATCTTTGGGGGACCTGGCGACCCCTGTCTTAGTTGGGAGGTCTCTTCCCCACAGGTTGCCCATCATCGAAGAACCTCATCCTTAAATAATCTGTAACCAGACTTCATGGCTACCGGGACTGCCATGGGCTAAGCTGAGCAATACTTGGTTACGGATCTCTTGCCTCTGGAACAAGGCATGTTTGCGCTCAGCATAAAGCCAGAATGCCTACCGCCACTGCCGCCATTTCCAGGACCTCCATTGACATAGCGCCTCTCCATCACTGTACCCATCACCAGATCTGGGCCATAACATTCTACCAGCCTTCCTTTGTTATAAGGGTAACCCACATGTGATTTACAGTTACAATTTGATGGTCAAAACAGTAATAAAGTTTACAATCATTCCAAGATCTACTCAGGAAAGCATTTAGAAAGTGCACTTGCACAGATACATTAGGTACAATCATTGATGTTACACATGTAGCATTATAAAAAATATGAACAAGAGACTTGTTGCACTATCCACAGAGCACCAATTTGTTCCTGTGGTGATGCAGTTTGTTGATTTAATATCAGTAGCCTCAGTTGAATAAGCGACTTGAGCCAAAGACTCCTTTTTGTCGCATTAGGACAAGTTGCATTTCTCCAGAAAAATACACTGGCATAGGCGAGATTCCAGAAATAGGAACCATCAAGTCTGATATTTCAAGTGACCATGTCCTGTTCAAATACTGAAAAGAGGCCACTCTTTTGCCACTCATCACAGTCCATACCAATGTCCAAATGTTTTAAATGGGTCCTTTTTTCCCCCAAAGGGAAAAACTGGGAAAATAAATTCTGTTGTTTCAAGGTGTGTCAAGGGCAGACAGTTAATCTTTCCAGTTCTCTGTTGGCTTTGGGATGAAAACTCATGGGTCCGGGAGGTTGATGCAGCAGGCCTGTTGAGAAACTGGAAATCTCTAACTGACTGTTTTCCTTCTTTCTCGGGCTGTAGATTTGATGACATCAAGGATCAGAAACACTGATTTAGGAGATGTCACTCAAACTGGCTTAGGTAGGCTCCCATGGTCTCAGGTCCAGTTTTTCTCTGCTCCATGCATCTCACCAAATGTTCTGACAGCTGCCGAAGTTTTATTCTTTTCCTGCAAGAAAACACAAACATGTCCTCAACCCCAAATTAGGGTCTTCTCCACTGTCTAGTGCATGGATGTCTCCATTTGACCTGAGCAATAGTTGCTCAAGTTCCTTCATGCCAGAATCTGTCTGAAGCAGATTGCTCACTGGCAATTACATTTTAAAAATTTTTAAATGAGGAGTGTATTATTTGATGAGTCATGTGCAGACTGGGGACATTACTCCCCCTTTTTTATTTTCTAAATTTTGTTTCAACTGTTGAAGCTGTACCATAACAGTAGAAGGATTTGTCTACCCTCCTTAGTTAACTATCTAGGTGAATTGGGAAAAGGACATATCCATTAGGTATTTCCCAAAAACTTCTGAAAATCATTCAAAGATTGTAAACTATACTGTGTCCCAAATAACTTTTGAAAATTATTTGAAGTCTGTGAGCAGTCTTTCCCAATCTAACCGGTAGAGCTCTCACTAGCTGACAAGGCCTCATTTGCATCTTAATTTTTCTGTTAAAACATTAACCGACTGGCTGGATGTTCCTTTTGGCTATATCTAAAGCAATTTAGGTAGCTTTTTAACTATTTTTGAAGGGATTTAAGTATCCTTTTAATCATATAAGCAGTTCACACTCACGCATTCACAATCACATTTCATATATACCGGTGTGGGCACACCATACATTCAGAACATACATGTATCTTTCGGTCATCCTTTTTCCCTACGTCATGATTAGTCTGTTGAAATGAAACTTCCTTAATTGAAATCTATGTAAAAGAACAACTCCAGCCAATCCTTGAACTAAAAAGGTTAAAAAGTCCTGTGTGCCCCTCATCATTCCTCCATTTGAGATACAGTCAGGGGGTACAGCCGTACCTACTCCTTGTAACTCTGTAGATGCAAGGTGGAGAGGCT